TTTTCTTTTGCAAATTAAAACATACTTGTGTGAACTTTTTAATTATGAAACTTGAAACTATTTCTACAAAGCGTATAATTACAATTTTATATTTCTTTGCCAAGTTTTTAATGACGACGCATTAATCGCTACAGTTTATTGTCGTCGCAATTAAATAACCGGACGCAAAAAAGTTAATAATCGCACAAGAGTGAAAATGTAGAATGCGGCACTGTTTCACTCAGCGATGCATTGGGGAAGCGCGAGGATCCATTATAAATCACTAAAGAAAATTCGCACGCTTACATAATTTTGTGAATTCCCGGTGTCATTTTTCATTGTGTCTGCGATCCGCACAATAATTTATCTCGTAAATCGGACAGGTCGTGTTCAACCAGTTAAAACCTAGTTGGAAAGTAATTTAAACTTTAATAATAATAAGTTTCTTTTAAAGTCAAAAGTCTTGCTAATAAAAAAAAGCGCAACGGGCCGAACTGTACAGATTTCTAATACGACAAAAGTTTCAATTCTGTCGCTATAACGATGATGGAACTCTAGCAAGTACAGGAGCAATGCGGCAGCCTCGAAACTACTTCGCATTGCTTGTTGTTGGTCGTAGTTGGCCGTCCTTGGAAGTCTCTATATCGCGATAATCGTGCTTCCGGCGGCTCATTTCTTGTTTCTGGCCGCGCAGCAGTGACAAATAACGCAAATAGGAAGTGCGAATAAATTTTGATTAGGCAAGTTTTTCGCTTATTCAGCTTAGCTGCATAATGATTCTTTGTTTTCTTTTGGTTATTTCTTATTTCGTCGAAATCTCTGGTTTTTTTTCATAAAGTCACAAGTGTTTTTGGAAGGAATTCTGAGAATATGAATATAGACATTAGTTGAAGTAAAGTGCGGATGTATATAAATTATTATTCCCACTTCCTAATTATTCGCCAAATATTCTGTACATTTTCGCCGAATTCAGATAGATATTGCGCTGCTAACATCTGGGCTCTTCGGTTGATTACTAACCAATGGCAAGCAATGGCATTGTTCTGAGTTGGAACTCTCAACACCGCATTAATGCAATGGACTCAACCGACGATTTCGACTTCTATAACTTTATCCCTTCATGTTGATTGCAGCTCTAAAACTAAAAAAATTATAGTCAGTTTAAATTGAAAATTTAACATTTCCACTACGTGCCATAAGTAGGTACCATTTTACTAGTACATATATACCTATTACAACGACACATTGTTGACTTAAAAGCATTGAAAGCAGAAATGCGGCGAAGAAAAAAAAGTGATTTAAAGTGGGAAAATCCTCAGCGTGTGCAAGTTTTGAGCAGCAAAGCCAAGAAGTTGCGGCAACTTTTCTATAAGCATCAGGGCACGGCGTGTTACGCCGATGAGAAAACAGAGATAATAATTTATACCGCATCTTCGTTGTGGAGCATCGGATGCGTCAGGCAATGGCGACAAACGGCTGGCGCGTCGGAAAGGAAATAATCTCCAGCCCATCATTCACTTTGATCAGTTGGCGGACATTTTTAAAGCGCCGCCGCTCTTCGTCACTCTCCGAATCTTGGTTTGGCGCACCACACCGCACTGCCTGAAACATTACTAGCGCAAGGCAGTGTGCGTGGGTGTGTATGCTAATGTGTATGTGAGGAAGACGGTGAGAGAGCTTGGCGAAACGACGCACGCTTGCAAACGCGGTCACGTCCTAACGGGGGCATTTACGTGGCCTCAAACATCTGTCGCGCGCAATTAGGATGTAATAATCGGGCGGGCAGCGAACATAATTAGACCCATAGAAAAAGTTAATAAAATCGCGCACAACTTTTATTACCCCGAAATGATTTTTGCGTCACTGACTTCACCGTCAAATCTCCAAACTTCAGTAATCGTGGTTTTACCTTTAGCTTGTTAGATGTAATTGAAAACTTGACCACTAGAAAACGCAAGGATCCGTGTAGTTTTCATGCAAATACCATTTTCAATATATTTTAATTGCGTCGTTCAGACGTAGAAAAAAGTTGAACAAACCTTCGGGTGCATTCAATGATCGTTGCACATGTCCTGCGCGTGTTTGCAATACACGCGTTTGTAATATGTGAATTTCCTTCACGGCAAATCGAAGAGGGGCTTAATTTCCTGTTGAATCATCGACGGGGATGGCACCGGGCGACACCGAGCTCATCTCACACCTTCATACACCCTATGGGTATGTGGGGGACCCTTTACAGCGTCTGGCAAAAGTCAGGCAGCCGATAAACGAGCGCGGATCGTCGTTTTTCCTCCAGCCGTAGATTGTCACTTCAATATCTCTTACAGAATTTATGTTTTATGCGCGCGGCATTATATTGGCATTTTTATACGACATCAGATCAGCGCCCGGGGTTCAATTCCCGCCGATCGGGTACGTAGATGTGCAGATTGAAACATGTTGAATAGGTGCACGTCGAGTTTTGCATATACGTCGCGGCTGTCAGTATACACAAATACCGGCTTCCGGATCGTGCGCAACGACACACAATATAACTTCTTTTGATCACGCTACCATTCGACGAGAACGTTCATGGGATTCGCTTATCTTCGGGGTCTCTAGTATTGATTATCAATCTGTGGTGAGGATATTTCGCTGTCATACAGGCGTGCGGCGGGCACAAATTGAAATATAAAAGAATTTTTCTTACTTCATCGAAATCGTCGACTTGAAACGCTCTTTCTTCATCATGCGACAACACAATTACTTTAGAAATTATTGCTCTTATTATAATGTTACGTTACCTATGTAATTAACTAATTAATTTAGTTTTAATATATTCCACATGCACCAGCAACAATTTAATGAAATTTTACTAGGTTCCTTGGCAACCTGAAGCGTACTTTTAAGACAGTACAGCGAATTGCATTGCAAGCCACCTAGGTGCCCTTCAGAGCACTTCTCTTATGCATTAAAACGCTCATACGGCAATCGTTGTGCTAATTAGTCGGTCTTATGCCATCATGCCAACCTGCGCGCACAACGCCACGACGGCAATTTCATTACGTTTATATAATAATGCATGGTAATGATTTAAATTTCGGGCGAAATTCAGCAATTTCAATTCGCGTTCGAGTTGTTCGCTTTTAATTCCACGTCGACTCGTGTATTCGTACAAAAGCAGCGAACAAGAAATGGCAACATATTAAAGTGGGCACTCGCGCGAAATTATTACCGCAACTATAATTGTTCGCTACTTTCGTGTTGGCATTCAGACAAATTCATTGTAATTGTTAATAATTTATTTAGGACTGTATGTTGCAAGATAATTTTATTTAATTAATAAAAATGTTAACAACGTCGACTTGAATCCACTTCCGTTTCAAGTGTAGGTTCAGCTTTAGTGCCTAAGCAGTGAAATATTATTTCAAGACAAATTAGAAAAAAAAAATTGTGTTTTACCTGCTGTGCAAATTGTCTTCGAAATTTGTAATTAGAATGCGTTTGCAATGTTATTACGAATTATACAAAGCTATTACATTCCGGGCTGCAAAGCGTTTACAGGAAACCATTTGAGGTGTGCGCTCGGTCGACGGGCCCTTGCTTACTTCGCATTATAGTATCCAGAGGAACAATTACGGCTTCCCATTAATTGATTAATTACAGCATACCAATTAGGCCAGACAATACAAGTGGATAATTAGAATTTTGTCCAGTTTTTTTTTAGAACAATTATATGATAGGAATGTAGCCGCAGAACTACGCGTTAAATGCAAAATTTTAAGAACGCATTTATTGCCATATATCGGCTGCGGATACTTTCATTTTAGAAATTCTACTATACTCGCACACTTGTCATATGTAGACTGTTTTTTTATCGCCTTCCATACGATGTGCTAGGAGCTGTGACCAAAATAGAAAATTGTTTGTTGGATTGCTGCGCTATTAAGATGTCGAAACAACGTGTATAAGCCAATGATTGATATATAAATATATATTTTTAATTTAATTTAAATTTAAATTTCACACTCAAATTATTAATTTTTTTTTTATAAGATGACAGAAATTGTTCATTTGCTTGTTGTGATTTTCGAGAGTGAAAATATCAGCGTGATGCAAACTGCGCCACCATGAATAATTAACAAACGGCTGGTCATAAATATGTATTAAATCTGTTTGGCGTTTGTGCGGTGTCGCACTGGCGCAATTTTGTTGTTGCATTTTTTTTCGGTAGAAATCCTCGATGCCCAGCTGCTTCGTACTAGCGTCCGCTCCAATCGAAGCAAAAACGTCGGTTGCTATAGATACATGTCGATTAAGACTAATTACTGAGTGATAAATTTGGGTTTCCGGTACCACTCTCTTTTCGGTTGTTCTTTCGCACGCATATTCGTTTAGAATTGGGCAAACATCCGATTTTCTAAATTACGTAAGGTGCTCTTAATTAATATACGCGCAAAGGTTACACGTTTCGTACTCGTTGTTATTTACTTCTTGTCGTTGTTCAAAAGCGGAAAAATAATTTAAAAACCGCATATTCAATGTGTATTCAGACGTATAGCAGACATTGTTGTCATAAATAATGCGTAATTCAAACGCCATACGCGTAGCTCCCGTTTTGCATATAGGAATTCAAGTTGTTTATTATAATCACACATTGCTGGATTATTTATGTGACGTTATCAATAGCGCTTTTGTCATTAATTAGTTATTATATTTATTGGGAGCGTACTAATGGACATTAATTGTGAGTAATGAGTATAATTAGTGTAGTGGCATTATTTGATATTCTGTTACAATTCATGCGCTCAAGATCAATTTGCCAAAATATTGCACAATTTGTGTTATAATTGCTCGACATTTTGGTGTACTAAAATTAAAAATGATAATGTTTGCTAAGTTTCGGCATGCTCAAAGAGCATTAATAATGGGTCTCGACTGGTGATTTTTAGTAATGTTTTAATAATAGTAAAAGAAAGTGTACGTGGTGAGGAGTATATAAGCGTGTGACGCTCGTTCCGAAATCAGAGCCATTCCAAACCTCCAAGCATGAAGGCGATTGTAAGTATTATTCATCAGAAGAGGAGAACAAAAAATTCAGAATTATAAACAAAAATTCATTTGCAGTTGATTATTAGCGCCGTGTGCTTGTGCTCGGCTCTAGCCGCGGATTCCACGAAGGAATCGCTGGAGAGCAATTTAAAACCAGTGAAGCGCAGTTTTGCTTTAGGGGATCATGCGGAATACGGTGGCGGTTGGACCGGTGACTTTGGCGGCAGCAGCAGCCATGGCTGGGGCGATGATCATCATCACGATCATGTCCATGAGCACGTGAAGACGCAAGTGGTCACTAAGAAAATCCCAGTGCCATACACCGTAGAGAAACACGTGCCTTACACGGTTGAGAAGAAAGTACCGTATGAGGTGAAGGTACCCGTCCCACAACCCTACACCGTCGAGAAGAAAGTGCCGTATCCAGTAAAGGAATACATCAAGGTGCCGTACTTTGTTCCCCAACCATACGAAGTCATCAAGAAAGTGCCCTATGAAGTCAAGGTCGATGTTCCTCGTCCTTATGAAGTCAAGGTTCACGTGCCCAAGCCATACACTGTCGAAAAGAAGGTTCCATATGAGGTAAAGGTGCCAGTTCCAGCGCCATACACCGTTGAGAAGAAGGTACCATACCCAGTCAAGGTAGAGATCCCAGTGCCTGCCCCTTACACAGTCGAAAAGAAGGTTCCATATGAGGTTAAGGTACCAGTTGATCGTCCATACACTGTTCACGTACCAAAACCATACACCGTCACTGTTGAGAAGCACGTGCCTTACCCAGTCGAGAAGCCAGTACCGTACGAAGTAAAGGTACCCGTCGACAAGCCTTACCCAGTTGAGGTACCAAAGCCGGTCCCGTACGAAGTGAAAGTACCAGTGCCACAGCCGTACACTGTCGAGAAGAAAGTTCCGTACACTGTTGAGAAGCCGGTGCCGTACGAGGTTAAAGTGCCCGTCGACAAACCTTTCCCAGTCATTAAAGAAGTACCATATCCAGTAGAAAAAGAAGTTCCATATACTGTCAAGGTTCCAGTACATGTCCCAGTTCATCATGAACACCACGATCATCACGAACATTACGAGCATCATGACCATCATGATCATCACCACGAAGAGGTGCACCATCACGACGACGGCTGGAAACCATCTGCATCCTCTTATTCCAGCACCTCAATTCATCATCACTAAACTCACCGAGAAACTAATCAACCCCCAAATCACTTTTTAGATACTCACTAAACAAAATCAAAACGATTCTTATGTGCTGTGCTTGTTAAAACGAATATATTGTTCCCCGTTTCTTGTTGATACTTTAAAATAAATATTTAAACGTATGCAGAAAGCAATAATATTTTATTTTAGTAATTTCCGCCCAAAACTTTCTAAATTTCGAAATTGTACGAGCGTAAAAATACTCACACACAATGCGAATTCCATTTTTTCATTATGCTCAATTAAAAAATCCTCAGGGATGTACTATTAAATGTACAACGTATAAATTTAATTTTTTGTTTAATTAAATCTGCACAAGGTTGGAGTGAAAAAGTATGCCGCATATAGAAAACTCCCATGGCAGTACTGAATTTCCACCAACTGCTGAGGCTACACGTTGCGTTTCGCGTTGTTCTCCGGGCTGCTAAGAAGAAAATTGAAAATTGTCCCGCGGCTCTTTGAAATCGAAATTTCGCCGGCATTATTTATGATCACATTTACTTTCACTGCACCGCATCGTAAATTAATCATTAACACGATCTAATTGCTTTTGCCAACATTAAACAGTCACACACAAAAAAAAAGAAAAAGAAATTCATTGCACTAAACAGGAAGAATGAAAAATTTAAAACTAATTGTATGTAAATTGGTAATGAAACTAGAATTGACTGCAACTACTCGTTTTCGCTCGGTTTTGGCGCATTCTCTCATTTTCTACTATTCGGCGCACGTAATTTGTATTCCGGTGAATAGTTTGTTGTTGGTCGACATCGTTGTTGTTTAGTGCCGGCTGCCCTGAATATTTTAAAATCCTTCATTACTCATTGGCTAACTGTGCAAGCGCGCGTGCTTCAAGAAGCACACGTCGGGCGGAAATAAGCGCCAAATGTTCGGCACCAGCTCGTTTACAATCTTAAATATTTAACTTAAAGTTTTATCATTAGAATTCACTTCGTAGCATCATTTTGCATATTCAAACTTGTTTTTATTGTTTCAGGTAAGTCCACCACAACAAATCTACTACTATCAATCAGAAGGGCGCTGTTAATTTGGCAACCTCATAATATGTAGAAATTTGCGTGAGTAAACGTAACGACATTATTATTTTACAGCGAAGACGTTTTATGTTGACCTAAAAAAATGTTTTTGTAATGCACATAATGCAGGTAAGGAAGCATCATAAATGCTTACGTGAGTTTTTGTGAAAGTCGGAATTGGTTGTACAACACATTAAATTTTGTTAAATTATATTCCGTCGTGTTTTTATTATAATTGTGATTATGTATTAAATTAAATTCTACGATTGTGAAAAATTAATTGGAGTTATGCAAACTGGTTTCAAAAATGCAATCAACAGTAACTAATGATATTCTCGGTTCACAAACCAATATGTCAAAAGTTGTTTCTATTCTCAAAACTCAGATAAATCGTTAAGTTTTGCAGTTAAATATTCTTAAGTTTACAACTACAAGTTTTGACTTTAAAATATAAAAATGAATTGCAAAATGTGTTGGTAAGCGGATAACTCAACAACGCCAAGACCAATTAGGCAAATTCTTTATTTAAATGTTCGTTAAAATCCAAGGATGTTTTTTATGACAAAAAAAAATTGAATAATTGCTGGGAAAACCATAAAAACAGCCTTTTTCTATGAGATAAAAGGTGGTATTGAGATTCAATCATAGTTATAGTTAAATAATTGAATCCGAGATGGCGTGCTGAAGTGCATTATTAGCAATTCTTTATATAATTAATTTCTTTAAAATAAAATTGCAAATTTTATTGATAGAATTGACACATACTATGTCTAGAACAAGAGAGTAAAAACGAATTACATTTTTATTAAACACTACCGGGACGAAGTCACAGGAAAAAGCTAGTATCTTAATAAATTAAACGTTATATGCAATATAGCATATTTTTTGTAATACATCTATGTAGGTACAAGTATAATGTGAGTATCTGGAACAAACACACAATTAATTTTTTAAAGATAATTAGTATAGTATTTCACTTTTGTCGGTTGAATGCGACTGGTAAAGACCAGCGTATCGTTTAGAATGTTATCGTCTTCGGTTCAAAGGCCCCAATTGGAATCCAAGATGGTCATGTTTAGTCTTAATATAGGATTAAGGTCGTCCCTTTTCGTGTAATGTGATAGGATAGATAGGACATGCCTCGGACATCAAGTCGAAGAGAGGCCGCCACCAGTCGCACAACACAACTGGGCATACTAAGTTGTAATATTATATTGTCGGCTCATCCCGGATGGGCCGCGCTGCCACATCCATCGCATCGTCGGATCCTTGTACGTCCTCCGAGACAAACGAATGCGTCGTGAGCTTATGGGCTCACGGGCGAAAACTATTTCGTCTCCTTCGAAAATTTATGTACAGCCGCGCTGAATTATTAACAGGTCTCTTAATGAACTTCTGCCGCCGATGAGAAGTTATAATTGCATCAGAAATCCGGCTGAAGTCATCTTGTTTATTTCAAAGCTGTGCATTTTCAATTTAACAATTTTTTTATTAACAGCAGCACTAAATTGATAGATAGTTTAGCAGTTTCCTCAAATATAATCAATTTATGACAAGGCGGAAGCTAATCGATATATGTAAGTATAACGCATTCCAGTGAATTAATCGAATTATGTTTCCTCCAGAATCTATATACCAATAGCTCTATACTCATGTATAGTATATTGAGAAACCTTTTAGTCTGGTAATTACGTCGGGACCTCTTGTAAATCGCCCCTTCGCAGTTATGTTTTCCGTTCACGTACAAACCGGACGAACCACGACGGTCCGCATTGCCGGTGGCATTAAAAATGCGAGCGCAGGGAATGTTTTTTAAAAATCCCGGAACGACGCTGCTAACCGGCGACGCCAATTTGGGGCGATGTCTTTTTAAAAACAAGCCCATCATACATTTTAACGTTATTAACGAGCGAAACGGCCCTAAAAACAACGCGTCCATTATGCTCAAGTAAAATGAAATTAGCGCCGCGCGAGAGTGCCGCCCCGAACGCGCAACCCCTTAATGCGCATGCAGGTGCCGGCCGCGATTCCGGCGACCGTCGGGGACGCGCAAAAGTGCGCTGACGGGTTTTACGCCGGCCACGACTTTAATTAGCGGACGCTTTATTGCGACTACAAAGTAGCGGATGACCGTAATACAAGTTGAACACAACGCATATACGACTGCTTCCGGATGAAACACGAAAATCACAACCTTACTTATGTGCCGTTCCTGAAAATAAAATTAATTTGTTTCATCTCACAATAAACAAAACACAATATTCTCCATATATCTATATAGCATAAAATCTTCCGGTTATCAGCAATAAGTATTTATTTACGTTAATAAATTTCATTTAATATCTAGATCTGTGAGACCACCAAAAAGCTGTCTAGGAGCAGTCTCCGAGTATTTATTAATATTTTACGTCATGGGTAATCCTGTCTACAGACTCGCTCTTTGTATTAATTAATAATGAATTACCCAATTAAACTGAAACGCACGTTTCAAATGGACACACTGCTCGGAACTTCTGCCATTTTCGAAAAGTTTAACTACGCGCCCGGCGGAAGCGTATAATGATTATAAACTATCAATTTATATTTCATGCTTTCTAGCAGTTCAAACGCATATCTAATGCTCTCCTACTGAATGCCCGTCGGCAAGTTTAATAACTAATTCGAATGTGTAAATTAGATGCGACATAATGGATTAATTCGACGCCTCCTGCTAACAAAACTGCATATATTCAGAGAGTTGCAACAGTATCTACTATAATTAATTTATTCATGTTTTGTTATGTAAATATAAAAAAGTTCCTTAATCTTTGTTGGTTTATTATGCGGAGCAGGAGCTTACTATTTCATACTTAGTTCTATAGAGGCTTAAAATAATAATATTCTTCTATATAGAAAGTTTAATCTTTAGGTTGGAATAAAATCGAGTCCCTTCACAAAGTAGTTGTCACTGTCAGTTCACCCATGCGACGTACAGCCACCACCCGCGGCTAGGGAGTTAATCGCTAAGGAGACGAGAGTTTCGAGTACAATAAATTCATCATGAATACCTTTTGGCAAACGGATAAAATATATGGCCCACCCGCTGTGTGAATTAGAAAGTTTTTGCGGTGTGCATCCCGAGAGAATGCGAAACTGTCTGCACCGTTTGTCGTTATCCTTGCATCGTGATTATCTATGCGTATTTCTATGTCAAACTGAATTTAAAATAATTACGTATGTATTTATTAAATGTCCTGCTTTTATAATTAATTTATTTCGTTACGGTGGTCCTTTCATGTGGTATTCACGGCATTTGAGTTGAGAATTTACGAATTATAATGTAAACTCGTAAAATCCACCTTTGTCTTCTTTGAATACCTTTGGAGTCCCATTTGGGTACTGAGCGAATGCGATTATATGCTGGCTGCAATGATACCGACATCACGTTCCAATTCTACAGGCCGCATAATTGACAAATCCTTTCAGGTAAAACTTTTAATGAATGTTAATTCGTTCCATTGGTGATAGCTGTCTGGATCTCGATCAGGTTGTTAAGTAAAGTTATCGACTTGTGGAGGGAACTGTTGAACTGATTGATATATTTCCGCAACTAAATTGAATTCGGATGTAGCACCAGCCGGTCGAAGCGGGAAAACATTTCGGAAAAACTTCATCAAAATTTTAACTAGTATTGTTTGTATCAGTTTCTATGCTTTGTCCAAAAGCAATTATTGGAAGCTTTAGTTCCGGTTATATATCGAGAAATTACAGGCTCCCGGATGCTTAAAAGCCAAACATTGTTCAGCTATGCACTGTATTTATTGAAATTCAATAGCAGCACGCACAGACAAAGGGATGTGCTATCCCGACCCGCAATTAAAAATAGTTTATGTCCCACTTCTCGAACAAGACTATCGAGGAAATAAAAAATACGCGTACAACGATGTTATTTATTTAATAACCAATTTTATCAAATATACGACCCGATTGCGTGTTTCCATCATTGCAATAATGCCCCCGTCTGAAAAATAGAGAAGAATATAAGCCGCA